AGTGTTTGGAGGACTGAATTCATTGGTTGATGTAGGGGGTGGTACCGGTATCAATGCTCGGATCATTTCCGAGGCGTTTCCTGGTATAAAATGCACTGTTTTTGATCTTCCACATGTTGTTGAGAACTTGCCAGAGGAGAAGAACTTGAACTATGTTGGGGGCGATATGTTTCAGTCTTTCCCATCCGCGGATGCCATTTTCTTCAAGGTATGCAATTTTTTGAATTCTTAGTTCCAGTGATTGAATCTGGTAATTAAGCAAATTTTAGGATTTGCATCATATATGTAGGGCAATTCCTCTCTCATTAAGTTATTTCAGTAAATTTCTGTCTTTTATTTATTTTTATTTTTTTGTGTTTTGGATTTAATTTGATGTTGAGTTGCTTCAGTATAGATTGATCAAATAGTCGAATTCTAAAGAGAAATCATTTTTGATGATCCAAGATCCTACATATTGATCTATAGAACTGTTATTTATTTGTTGAACGGACATATTGATTGACGAAATCACAATTATACTTAACAATAAAACTATCTGAAAAGGTTATATACGTCAAAGAACTTTAATTTTCCACTCCTATTAACACCAAAAATGTGTACAATTTACGAGAATTGTAGCAAATTATCATTTTTCTCCCATTATTTCTTTCATTAAGGAAAAACACGGAAACCATAAGTTAAGGAGATGGCTGCATGTGCTCTGATTCATTATTTGGGCCATTTTATCCAATTCCTCGGTACTGACAATCGATACTAGAAAAACAGTTTTCATGTATTTGTCGCTGAATTATTCTGAGAAGTATTCTATAAAGCAATTAATGTTCATATAATAAGCAAAGTAAACTTTAAGATAATCAATTGAACTTGAATGTGTTTTTGGACTTGAAAATGGCAGTGTGTTTTGCACTGTTGGGTTTTATTTCTTGGCAATCCCGTTTGGCAAAACTCCTTTGAGTTGTAATTTTATTCGCATTTTTATTTCAGTGAGACTTTGAGTGTTTAGATGCGAATCCAACCCGAATTGAGCCTTTCAGAGAAGTTTGTGATGCAAATATTTTCAAGATTGCCACTTCGCTGATTATTACGGGGAAGGGACGCTCATGCAGTTATATCGCAGCCCGAAGCAAAATGCAAAAATGCATTCAAAGTTGCCTGTCCGATCATGTTATATTTTTCCAGTTTTTCCAGTTTTGGCCTTCCCGCTCGAGCCGGGAAAGGGACGCTCGAGCGGGGATTGGAAGCTCTCAGCATCTCTGCAGTCGCCTGCAAAAGTACTGGATAGTGTGATTTGCCGCTCGAGCGGCAAAACCGACGCTCGAGCGTGGAGCCTGTATGAAATCACAGAATTTGAAGTCTCCGCTCGAGCGGGGAAAAGGGCGCTCGAGCGGACCGCGCGATCCCAGATTTCCAGATTTGATTAAAGAGTTGGTTTTCTTCTGAAATTAGGATTGCTTTGGTTTTCTATAAATAATTGGTTTTCTCCCAACACTAGTGAGACTGCTCCAGATCTACTTTTTGGATCTTAAGGTTTATATCTGGAGATATTTTGCGAGTTTCTTTGATGTTTTATTGAGTATTCAACTCATGGTTTAAAGAGAGTACATCAAAGGTTGTGTTTTGTTCTACAAAAGAGAGAGTTGTTCTTCGGTGGATTCTGAAGAATTCGAGCCTGAAGCTTTGGTGGATTCCGGGGTGCCTCATCGTAAAGACAATCCCGAGGTGAAGACAGGTTGGAAGAGGCAGATAGAGGTTGGTTCAATTAAGCGTGGATTCGCTAGGTAATTGAGAGTATACCTGTGTAATTCCTTTAAATCTTCTTAGTGGATTGTTTTGTGGCTGTTACCCGTGGTTTTTTTATCACAGTTGGAGGTGTCCAATTGTGGTTTTTTTCACGTAAAATCGTTGTGTCTCTTTGTCTTGATTGTTTGATTGGGATTGCTATATTCTGTTTAAAATTGATACATAATCACAAATCAACATTTAGGGGATTTCTAGATTTTTCAGTCCTAACTGATAGTTTCTCCTTTGCAACTTATATTCCTCTTTAACTGTACCCTTTTCTTAATACGACAAGCAAATCAAGGCCATTTGAGTACTTGAGGCTGACTAGCTTAGGTGTCATTGGTGCGTTGGTGAAGGTGCTTCATTATGCTGATATTAATTTTTACATCTTATGAATAATCTTCCTTTTTTTTTTTCATATACTTCTATTTGTGGAGGTAATACATTCCTTGAAATAGAGTGGCAACTATATATGTTAGTAAGGACTCCCTCTGCAGATATCAACTTGTTGTCAAATTATAAAATTGAAAAACAAAATAATATACATAAAGAATTAAAATCTAATTAATGTCTATAAAAATAAATAATAAAACAAATCCATAGCTAGCATGAGTTTTATGGGCATGATCTTATCTCTTGAATGTTCCCTAAAGACGGAGAAATATTTTTGAAGAAGTTAATAAGCTGTTTAAAATGAATTTGCATATTCTCTCAATTCCAACCAATGGTAATTATTATTCTAACAATTTTAATTAATATACATTTCCTTAGAAATTCAAGCTGGTTCATAATTTCAAGGAATGCATTATGTTATCTAGATGTTGGTTTTAGTTTTTATTCTCTTCCTTTTATTTATATATTTATTTTTGACCAGCAACAAAATGGAACTTTTATTAAAAAGAAGAATAAGAAAGAGATGCAAACAAAGGCGGACAAGGAGTCCTTAAAACAAAAAATAATAGAAGGAAAATCCCAGAAAAAAACAAATAAGTAAGAGTCTGAGTCGCACACTGTATTCTCTTCCTTTTATACGGGCACATATTAATTTAAATATACCTATGTAAAAAGTTTGGAAAAGAAATATTGTAGACTCTGTTTTTGATGGGCATCTGCATATATTGGAAGCCATTTGCAGCCAACATTATAGATTGCTTCTATGACCTTGAGGAGACCTATGATGAATTTTTTACCAAAACAGAGGTGTTGAATTTCTCTTTGATATTTGTTCAACTGCTTTCTTTTTCTTCTTCCTTTTCCCCAAATTTTGAACCCATAAATTGTGACAATTTAAAGCAGTAAACAACTGCCTAATCACATTTTTTACCAAAACAGAGGTGTTGAATTTCTCTTTGATATTTGTTCAACTGCTTTCTTTTTCTTCTCCCTTTTTCCCAAATTTTGAACCCATAAATTGTGACAATTTAAAGCAGTAAACAGCTGCCTAATCACACACAATATGTAATGGAGAAATTTTTGTGTAGTATGCCTCTTTCACTTTGCTCGCAATAATCTCCTCCATCTCTCATTGAAAGGGGAAGTTACATTCTTCGGAAGCTCTTGGTGTCCCTAATAACTAAGCTCTTGTTCATGAGTCATTAAGTTTTATATATTTATTTATTTATTTGGGTGATTTGAATATTGTGAGAATCAGAACTTGTGTTTTTTTTCTTTTTTCTATTAGGTTGATGATACAGAAGTTATTAGCTTCCTTCTCTCAATAGAAATAATTCCACTATGCCTGCGGACGATGGAGATGGGCAGTGAACTATCAAAAACAGTTAAGTGCACCTGAATCCATTGTATTAATTTTTTTTTTCCCCAATGAATACCACCAATAATTTCACTGTTTCTTTTCTCACTATCTATTGCAGATTCATGTCTATTTTCCATCTGAATGTATTGCTAGCTATAGCCTAGGTATGCCTAAAGCTGATATGAGGCTAATGATTCAAAATTTCTCTTTCTTTTCGTAAAGTACTTTTTCAGATAATAAAAAACAACTTAATTTTTTATAGCTAGCATTTTTTATGGCTAAAAATTAACTTAATTTTTCGTAAAGTATCTTTTGCATTTTCTTTTCCGAAGAAGTTCAATATGTTTTCTAACTCTTAAGAATGTTTGATTTGTTTCATTTTGGTGGCACATCCTACATAGAAAAATAGTGGCGCAGGTTCCCTGAATGTTTTTTAGTTTCTTTGCAAATGCAACTGGTTATAGGATGTGGTTTGTTTGTAAGAAAATGGTGAGCTCTACGAATTATGTTGGGTTTTAGGATTATATATTATTGCTACCGTTGGTGATACCTTAGAAAATGAATTGTAATTGTAGATATTGATGACTCTAGGCCTGGTAGAGGCTGCCTTATAGTTCCGTGGTACCTTGTTATTGTAACATCAATACTCCCAGTTTATATCCTCTTTAGTTTGATAAAACACATTAATTTTTCCTAGCAGGTTGCAACATTCATTATTCAAAAAATTCTATTGGATGATGTGGACTTGTAATTAATGATAAGAGATTAGGAATATTTTTGAATGGATGTAAATTTCAAATCAAGCAATTTGAGATTGCTTGAACCATGGGCATAGGCTATCGTGCAAAGCACGGTGCCTCGCAACTAGTACATATATTATAATATATAATAGTATTTCAGACTTTTATAATATGTTGTTTTGTCTTCATATATAACAAGATTTTGGATAGAAAGATATTTCACAAAAGTTTTAAAACAAATTAATTACAACTTGTAGGAGCCAAGCAAAGGGACAAACGGCAAGAAACATTCTCATAGAGAAATGCAGGTAACCTTGCACATTTCTCATGCTTGTACTTTTTGTTGCTTGCTTTTCTACTCAAGCTTTTGTCATTATTGCATATGGATCCCATCATCTATTAAATTTGAGTAAACAAATACTTCATAGGGTAAGCAAAACAGTGCAAGTGGTGAACATAGGGTGCACAGAGGTGGTGCTTGGAAGAATTCCCTTCACCAGAAGCCTTAAAGCATTGAATTATTGTTTCAACCAAACCACCAAAAGAATATCTTGAATCTAAGGGTCCAATAGGGAAGGATTCATCTACTGAAGCAGCATCAGGAAAGGAGTCACCAGACCTTGCAGCTTAGCTGGATCCTGATGACAAGGTGAGCTTAGAAATAAATTTATTTCATCAGCTTATAATCTACAAATGAAATTTACTTCATTCTGTTATAATTTCTAAGGTTCTCAATTACTTTAACATGTTAAAATTTTGTTATGGTTAATAGGATGACACTGATCAGGATGATGAAGGCAATGATGACTGTGAGCAGAAATCATGAGCAGAAATCATGCCAGCTAGGAGCATGTTAATACAAGCATTCGATTGCAATTCATGCTGGGAAACCAAAGAATGGATTGAAAGAGGCTTTGAGGGCTGGAATTGGAAAAATTAAACGTCTTAGTTTGAGTGAAACAAAACTTGAAAAGGCAACAAAATCTTATGGAATTGACCTCGTGAGGTAGTCACTGAAGTTCTATGTGCTTAATACCTCTAAGAATTATCTTAAAACATTTATATTTTTACTCCAGTGAGTGATTAGATCTCTACTGTTTTTTATTAATCTTTTCTTTCTTGTCTCCCTTAGGTTCACACAGAAGAATATTCTGAGGGTATACCCAAAGTGGACCCGAGTCACCTCCTCAAATTTCAATCCACTTACTGGATGGATGCATGAAGCTCAGATGGTTGCATTTAATCTGCAGGTTAGTTTTGAAGTCTTATGTCTTCATAAAATCATGTTATTCATTTTTTTTGGTGAGCTTTGGTAATATTTTCTCCATTTCTTAATCTTGTGTGGTTTGATTAGTTAATGATGTAGAATGAAAGTTCAGTTAAAAAATGGCTTAAATATATGGAGTGGGAAAATATTACTTTTTAGGATTGATTTCTAGTTTTTTATTCTATTTTTGCTATTGACATCTATGTAAAGCTTATATTATACACTATGGTCTCTAGATAACTTGGAATTTTTCTAATTCTATCTTTTTCATTTTGTTAGTTCAATTTCATCCTATTACAATGTAATGTAACAGCATTGAAAATAAAAAATAAAAAATAAAAAATGACTACATTGCAGCTTCTAGTAGTAGCATAATATTACATAGAATGTCAAATTTGAGTCCCATGACGTGATTTGTTTAATGTTAATATTCTTATAGAGGTTAATATTCAACCAATATCTTGGGAATCTGGGAAATTCATTTGTTTGTTTCTTTTCTCTTTATTTTTTGCTTTCCTTATATATAGATTTGACAGCAAGTCAAATGCAGGGTTCAAATTTGATGCCAGAGAATAGATACATATCCTTATAAATAGATAGATCCAACTAATTCTGTTTATTTACTGTTTCAATAGTTAGCATGTTGCAAAGATAGCTTATGAGAATCAATTTGTGATGAGTACTCAAGAAATTGTGAAATTTCTTGAAAATCAGTTAAAAGCTGCACAAATTTCTGTTGAACTCATGTTAAAATTGTGAATTTAATAAATGCCATTTTTAGACACTAAAAACAAATAAACATAATACAATGAACTAATCAAATATATGTCTTTAATTTTACACAGTGTATATAGCGATCCCGGTTTTATCCCGACCTTTATTGTGTTCCGGACTCGGGTTCCGTGATTGTACATTGTTGTCTATGTCTTGTTTCCTCCCTTTAATTCTTTGAATTTGAGTTTTGAGACTTGTTGGGCGAGTTTGAAACAGGTTGGTTGCTTTTTGGTACAAATGGTTGTTGCCCAGAACTTGGTCCTTCCGCTCGAGCGGGGACTGTGTCTGCAGAAAATACTGGGAGAGCGTATTTCACGCTCAAGCGCAGGGTTTCACACTCGAGAGGGAGTCTGTGTCTTACGCTCGAGCGGGACTTTCCCCGCTCGAACGGACCATGTTATAACAGATCGTGAAAGTGACATTTCAAGTCATTTTTCTACTTCCTCTCTCTCTTTCTCTAAAAGTCTCCAAAATACAAATCTAGAGCCTCTCTCTCTAGAAAACCATCTTCTTTCTTTGATTTCTCCAAATCCATTGGGATTTTGGCAATAGTTCCTTCGTCAAAATTGTGTAACTTTTTGGAGGGTTTCGTTGTGTGCGATGAAGATTGAGTTTCATCGTTATTGATTTTGGGGGTTTCAACTCTTTTCTTCTTCTACACATGAGGTAGGGATTTTCTACACTCTAATATGATTTTTAGCTTAGTTATTTGCTATTGTGTATAGATGATGAGATATTTGGTTGTGGTTTGGACAAATCTAGGATTTGGATGTGAAATGAAAAGAGGGGTTTTTGATGAATATGAGGTAAATGAGTATGAGGCTTGAATATATGATTATGCTGTACCAAAATAGTTGATTTTGGTGTTTGCGTTGATGTAGACTGCCTGAAATCCGCTCCGCACGCGAGGGCGCGAATTATGGTTCTAGCTACTACAGTTCGGACTCCTGTCACGGTTGTGAATCTAATCTCACAAAGTGCAATGCAAGACTAATAAATCAACAAAGAGTCCAAATTCAGCAAATCGTTTTGGAAAATCGATTTTAATCAAAGAGCGCCAAACATGGATTGCTTTGCCAGATTTCAGAGTCGCCACCTAAATATTTTTTTTTTGGGAAATTTAGGAAACCCTGACTCGTGCCAAAGGCTATGTGTCCGTCATCATCAAAGTTGCCTCGGCTCGGGAACTTGGGTACGAGAGAGGAAAGTCATGAAATAAGCACCCCGCTCGCCCGATCAAAGGATCGGCCTCTACTAAGCATGATATGATGTTTTTAAAAACACATGCGTTCTTATTCTGATTATTTAGCTAACTTACTATGTGATGTGCACAGTATACAAGTAAAAACTTAATCACACGGATTGAAACAAAAAAACTCATGCTTGTTTTTTCTGAAAGTGGTTTGAAAATGCTACTCGTAAGTAGGCTAAGACGCGGATTTGCCACCCTCAAGTGGGCTTAGAAAAACATGATTTTGCCACTTCAAGTGGGCTTAAAACTCACAATCATCGAGTTGTTCCAATTCAGGCAATCAAGCCTCCACCCGTAGGCATTCAAGCAGTTATAGCAGTTAAGCACATAGCCTCATGGCAAGCATGCTAAATATGGCAACACTTACACGCATGCAAGGATGCTAAAGCATAAACACTTACCTAGTACTCCGAGCCAAAACAAAAGCTAGTTAGTAATCAATGCATGATCCTAACTATGTCAACAATGCCTAATGCAACACATGCAAAAATGCAACTAGATAGGCTCGGCTATTCTAAGATGTCATGTAAATGCAACTAGATAACATATATTCAACTTGGTATTGAAATACGATGCAGTTTGTATGACGCGCCGAGCCCGGTGCATATAAGACAGATGAATGGTTGCACGCATGCAAGCATAAGGTATGCTAATTGAAATGTGTCCTAAACTAACTATCGAAAGCTGATAAGTAAAAGGGAGAAAGAAATGGGGTTGGAAGACATGCATCACACACACGCACACTAATTACAACATTTGTCATCTCGATGGAGGGTCCGAAAGAATAAGCTAAGCTAGCTACATTAAGCTAAGCTACTTAACTAATCTAATAATCTAATTAGACTAATTATTACACAACACAAATTGAATAACTAGCTACAACTAATTATTACAATACTCTAATTAATTAACAAATTAATTAAGTTACGAAACCAACTAAGTGAGAAAAAGAAGCTAAATTAGGCTGCCACAGCTTTGTCTCGGAATAATGAATGATGCATGCTCGGTCGGCTTCGTTAGGAAATTCATTACCATGCCCCCAATTGCCTCTGTTTGCATTTGGTTTGATTTCAGAATACTATACAAACTCCAGAATGCTTTTTCTCCAACACAGGGACCTCCTGGTGGGCTGCCGACCAAAAAAGGGTGGTGTAGACCACCTGTAGACTAGAAAAACTAGCTGTAGAGTAGAAAAAGTGGTCGGCTAGCTACTTTTACTGGTCTGCCGACTAGAAATTTTGCCAAACTCTAGTTTTGCTGCAACAGAGAACAAGACGGGGCATGGCAGTGTATTTGCAAGATATGTGTGCACGACCACCCTCCCTATCATTTCTCAAGCTCAAGGGAGTGCAATACTCGACTCTCGGGCCACCAACCGAGTATCGCAATACACGATGGCCGAGAAGCCAAGTTTCCACAATTCAATGTCAATGAATGCACAAATAACACATAAGGGCCTCCACCTCTATCATGTTTGATCAAGAGGGTCGGTGACTGAGAAATGAGGCGCGTTTCATCACTTCAAGTATGAAACACCCCTCGTTTCTGGTGTTTGGATTAACAACCGATCCAAACACAATCCAATGCAATAACACTCCAAACACAATGCAATGCAACAACATGCAAACAACATGCGATTCAACAACATGCAAACAACATGCGATTCAACAATGTTAATGTGGCATGCACAAGGTTCTATCACATGAACAATGCATGCAAGACATGTTCGGAGGCTAAAGCATCAAAGCAAGTAAAGAGCATCATACAAGAGGCATGCTATACAATGCTCAATGGACTTAAACCAACCCCACGTAAACCTCATGCATGCCCAAACAATGGCCAAAATGTGCTGAAACTTAAACACAAGAAGCAAGAAAAGCATGCTCAACTCATGGCTCGCAAGCAAGGCACAAAACTCAATCCTCAAATGCATTGAAAGAGTGATAAACATGAGAGTATAACAAGTCCATATGCTCTGAAATTATGTTCCAAATGATGCCAAATCATGCACATATCACAAATGAAGCATGCTAGGAGGCTCAAACCTTAAGACTAGCAAAGGCACTTGCACCATAGCCATATCAAGCAAGCCCCAAAGGGCCAAGGTGACTCAAAACAGTCTCAAGGCAGGCCAAAACAATGCCAAAACATGCATGGAATACGGCTAACACGTGCTAGAATGTGAGGCATAAAGCATGATGCATGTAAGGCCAAAGAGGGGGATTACACTACACCTACCAAAACCAAGCATGAGATGACTTCATCAACAAAAATTAGAGTTGTAACATGGCAAAATAAGACCAAAAACACACTGAGATGGTAACCCAAAAAGCTTAGGCAAGCATGCATGCCAATTGGCTCATGATTGAGGCATAAAGCATAACCCTCCAAAAGCATTGAAAGAG